AAAATCAGCAGGTTTTGAGGTTATGTTTGGGCTTCAGCTCTCTCACAGTAGAAACTAAATTCCTGTACTTCTGCCTACTGAAAACAATTGTCCCCTAGTAAGGAAAAAACCCTGTCAATACAAGTTGCCACTGCTCCTGTTGCCAATTTGGGCCACTGCAGCCTATGATAAATGATACACACCTGGTTTGCTAAGAGCGGTCTGATCTCTGGAATCTCTGTGTGGGCAAAAACGACTGCTGCTAACAAGAGGACCTTGGCTGAATTTTGTCCTGTCTCCAGTGCTTCATTCTGTTTCACAAGTGCTTGTCCACTTGATTAACAGTACAACAGGCTAGCACATGTGCAGTTTTACAAAGTGGAAATTAATTTCCTTGGGCCACAATAGTTTTCAGCTTCCCAGAAGGCAGCAGAATGGATTATCCTCACAAAGGTGTAAACAGGAACAAAGGGAGGGACTCACCAGAACTGGCACCAGGATCAAGTATTAGTTTTCCCCTCAGTAAGCCAGGCTGTGAACCTGCAGCACCCGTGTACCAAGAGTTTTGGTGCATGTGGGTACCCCCTGCACAATGGGGTCACTTCCAGTACATCTCGTGATTACTACAGGCTTATCTGTCTGAATGGACTTGTGAGGCAGATGAGGTAAACTGCATTAAGCCCCATTGTGTTCGGAATTAAAGCAGCCTTAATTCAATTCAGGTTACTTCCCTTTCAAAAGAATGACTCCAAATCAGATTAAGGTTGCTTTAATACTGCAACAGAATGTCCATGCTGGGCTTTAAAGCAGTTTAACAAATCTACTTTAACTGCACACCTTTCATTAATTCAGATTGGCTTTCCTGAAGTCCCTGGTGGAGATAAGCCTTAGGAGACCCCATGCAGGCAATCTGCACGGGTTTGCTAGGATGCTGTGAACTCACAGCCTGGCTTTCTGCACCCTAGCTTACTCATGAAGGTGACTAAATCCAGTTGATGGCCCGTGCTGGAGCTGCCATTCTGAGGGTTTGAGCTCTCAGCAGTCTTGCAGCAACCTCTCGGTTCTGTGAAGGAACAGGGTACAGAGTCCTTCATTTTCACTCTCACCCTTGCTCCTCTGCCTCTCCCTAGTGCTCTAGAGCTAAGTATGGTAGAACCAGATGGGTAAGTCTGGCAGGGATACCAGCCTATGGGATTCCTGCCCACTGACTCTCTGCTTCATTCCTGCTTCTGCACTGCAGTGCACTGCTGCCTCACCCTTTCCAGGTAAATTCCCTCACCCCTTTCCCTGAGTGGGTGAAGGAAAAGCTGCACAGGACCAGCTAAGAAGCAGAGAGAGGCGCAGAGCAGTGGGTGGTGGAGGGGGCTTGGGGAATTTTTCTTCTGGAAAAGCTGTCTTCCCCTCATCAAACTAAAGACTATCATGTCCACTGGGTTCCCTGTCCAGCATAACATGGGCATTACTTCTAGGAGGTCCCTACCAAAGGAATTATCTTGACTCTTTCAAAGAAGCACTACACTGGGAATCAGCTCATTTCCAGTCCTCTTCCAGTTACATTAAAAAAAAAAAAACCCTTAGAGTCCACATATGGCAAAAAGAAACATAAGGGCCAAAAGAAAAAAAAAAAAAAAAAGAGAAAAGAAAAGAAAGAAATAAAAAAGGGATGCTTGCTGATAAGAACAGGCAGTTTGTTAAGTGCACCTTCAGGCCCACAAAGACATTTCAGCACTCCTGTATAAAGGGAGTTAGAACCTTGTTTTTGTTGTTTATTGGTTTTTTTGTGTCAAACTTGTTGAAAATGCATGCCTATGCTACATGAGGTTAATTCTTGTGCTCCATATGGAATGAGATCCTTTGCAGTGAGCTATAAATGGACAAAGTAACATTCAGGCTCCCCAAACCACGAGTTCCTATGATCCATCCTGGTCTCCTGATAAAGAATCGCTGCATGCAGCACTTTTCCCTGTGCATAGGCAGAATGATCATCACTCTGCACATTAAATTAAGGTGTGCACACCCAGCTGGGACAGAAGGTACCCAAGTGAGGCCCCATCTCCCAAATGCATCCTTCTGATCATCAGTCCCATAGCACTAAACCGATTATTGCTGTCAGATGGTGGTTTTATAAGCTGAGTGCAGCATTCAGATCCATTTTGACATCAGAAATCATATCCTACAATTCAAGAGTTTGGGAAGATGAGGAATTTAATAGGGAGAGAGGTGTACAATGGGCAAGAGCATGAGCAGGGGACAGGAAAGAAGCTTTACAACATTACCTAGAGGATGTAATGCCCTGTTTTATCGGATGCTTTGCACTTTTTGCAGGAGTTAGAGCTCCCTCAGTTCTTGATCTTTCTCATCACTAAGATTCACAAAAGTCACACAGTGAGAAATAAAGTCAAGTCTTTCTGGAAACCTGTCAGGTCAAGCTTGTGCGTAACTGCAGTTAGGGTTGGTTTTTAACTCTAAGTGCCTTGATTTTATTTTATATATACATGTGTCTGCATACATATGTGACGCACACAGAAGCAGACATACATATATATATATATATATTTATACACATATATACATATATCAGAAAGGGGAGGAAAGGATCTGTACAGCATGGAAGGAGATGTGTTCAACAGCAGTTGGCCACATGCTAAGTGCAGAATGAAGATCCTCAGCTTTGCCCATTTGAAGAATTGGGATTAGTGCCTACATTCGTTCAGATCAAAGGTTGTTATCTTCTAGGGCCTAGCTGTCAAGGCTGGCATGTTGCAGAAGATACCTTCTCCTAGCATTGCTTCCCTCACCAGGAAATGATGGAAGTACAGTAAGATCAGGACCAGGAAGAAGAACATGGCTCAAAGGCTATGATGGGATCTAAGATCTGAAAGGGGATGGAGGAGACAGGGATGGGAGGGCAAAGCCTTTCCCATCTACCTGCTGGGGAATCTAGGGGAAAGAAGAACACAGTCCTCCAGCCTGGTTGCCTGACTAGGCGATGCCAGGGCTCCTGCTCCTCCTGCGCCCTGCTCTGCAGGGACAGGCTGCCAAAAAGCCACCTTGGGGAAAGAAAGGGCAGGTGCAGTGATGGCAGTGACACCTCTATGAACTACCTGGGGAAACCTGAAGCCTTGCATGTACACAACTATGAGTTATTTGGCAGAAGCCAATGCAGAGCCCTGCAGTGTCAGACTGGCTGGGGAAGGAAAGTATTCCATGGCCACTGATGGTCTCTGCCAACCTCTTCTGCATTCCTCTCACTCACACTTGATCTTTTCTATCCCTAAACCCTTCCATGCTGGGCCAGTAGACAGCACAGGACACTCCTGACAGTGGACTGACTCCTTGTCCTTTCCCTCAGTGTCTCTGATCCGCTCAGTTCCTGGAGGCACTTTCAGCAGTTTTGGGGGGTGTAAGATAAAGGCACTGCACAACTCTCTCAATCAATCTGCTGAGTCTCTTCAGTGAGCTTTGCGGGGGGATACAAAAAAGTCTCAACTGATGACTGCAAAAGAAACCAGCTGCTGCAATTTGGATGCATATAATAGATAAGTTTCATTTACATTCTGAGAATGCACCAAAAAGCATGCATCTGCACCTTTCATCTATAGAGGATACTAGGTTTTTAGGTGTTGCTATATATAACTTGACTTCTTAATTTTCCATATAGCTTTCCCTTTAAGGGATGGGATATATTCCTTTCCAACAACGCCTGGACAAAAGTCAACACATTTCCCTGAGCAATGCAGGAAAACAATCAGATTTCTCTAATCAGTTAATTCAGGCCCTCAGTCTATCAAGCACTTTTTTTTTTATTTTTATTGTTATCATTATTGTTGTTATTATTATCATCATTATCATTATTATTATTATTATTAGCATTGAATTCATGCACTAATTAATTCAAGTTACACTTTAATCAAATAGGCCATAATGCTGAATATTTGAACATGCTTCGATCTCCAAAAGTTATTGTTCCCATTTGACTAACATATGCACTTAAATACAGTACTTTAAATTACTAGTCAACGATTTAATAAATTAAGGAGTGCACTTCTGGTGAATGCAAATCAAAAAGAAAAAGAAAAGGATTGAAAAAATAGAGGAGAAAGGACCTAGTTTTAGAAGATTCAGTTCAAACGAAAGCTTATCTGCTATTGTCTGAGGTAACGTTTCAAGCATGCTATCATAAAATAAATAGTATCAAATTCAAACATGCTTATATTAAACTCCATTGTGCTATCTTGCAACAGAGGGGTTTAGAGTTTTGTATCCAGTTGCAAATGGGGGGGGGGGGAAAGTGTGTTTCTATCATCTGCATGTGAAAGAATTTAGCAGCATTGCAGATGTTTTGTCTTCAGTTTTGTTTGCTATTCTCATATTTCTTCTACAGACAGCAAAAGAGACCAGGCTTAAGTAGGTTTTTTAATAAGGTGCTGTGTGGATCTGTAGGTTGGATAGATGGAATCTTTCACAGAGGGGGCGGAAGGAAAATTTGCACTCCTTCATAAACACCACGGCAAATGCTTGCTGCAGGTTTTGGCTGATCTTTTTTACTATTATTATCAGATGCACCTTCTTGCAACTGTGCATTTTTGCAGAATATTTTTACTGGAATCCATGCATATGCTTAATAGCTCTAAAAACTGTCTTGCTTAGTTTAAGATAAATTTATCAAAAAAAAAAAGAAAAGAAAAAAAGAAAAACCCAACAAAGGAGATAGGAGAGGAAAAGTTTAGGTCTAGTGTCATAACACCTTAAAACTAAACTAGTTAAAATGGTTATCATTTACCAGGTGGGAAACATTTTTTTGAAAATAACCAAAATTTTGTCTTTTGTGGATCCTGGAAGCTTCTTTATCGCAGAGCAAAGATTTGCAATGCAACAATGCATTTACGAGGTAAATAAAGCATTCAAAAACTATCAGTAAAGCATCTACAAAGTGTGACTGTGTCACTAAAGTCTTCAAGCTGTGAGCGGGGATTTTGTTTTGTTTTGCTTTTTTCTGTTCTTTTTTGTTTTTTTTTTGTTTACACATCAGTCAGCAGCTTGCTTTTATTAACACAGTTTTGGTTGGCTACAGTGCAGTTGCCAGTTCTGAGATTAGCCTCTCTAAAATTGTCTATGCTATTATTCATATCCTCTTCGATTTCCATGTACTCAGATTTGCTGATTGTGGAGGAGCTGCGGCGACTGAGATCACTGTCAGATGCTAAATTAGGGGAGCTAACGTGAAGTAACTGAGCCTGTTCTTCCCCTTCTGTTTCTCGGTGGTAGAAGTAGTTGAAGTTGGACACGATGACAGGTACAGGCAGGGCAATTGTCAGCACACCAGCGATGGCACACAAGGAGCCTACGATTTTGCCTCCAATTGTCACAGGGTACATGTCACCATAGCCCACAGTGGTCATGGATACCACCGCCCACCAGAAAGCATCAGGGATACTTGTGAAATGAGACTCAGGTTCTTCAGCCTCAGCAAAATATACTGCACTAGAGAACAAAATCACCCCAATGAAGAGGAAGAAGATTAGTAAACCTAGCTCTCTCATACTTGCTTTGAGGGTCTGTCCCAAAATCTGGAGGCCCTTAGAGTGCCGGGAGAGTTTGAAGATTCGAAAGACTCTTACCAGTCTGATGACTCTCAGGATGGCCAAGGAGGTGGCCTGCTCTCCTTTCTGAGTCCCCTCCCGTTCGGCCATCTCGGTGCCCAGGGTGATGAAGTAAGGGATGATGGCCACAATGTCAATGAAGTTCATTATGTTCTTGAAGAAATCAGTCTTGCTAGGGCAAGCAAAGAAGCGCACCACCAGCTCAAAGGAGAACCAGATGATGCACAGGGTCTCCACAACAAAGAAGGGATCTGTGAAGATGTTGGATTTGTAGACCTGGGTGGTGTTGTCAGTGCGGTGCACTGTGTACTCCTTGTCTTCCTTCAGCTCAGGTAATGTCTCTAGGCAGAAGATTACGATGGAGATGAGGATCACCATGACAGAGACTATGGCAATAACCCTTGCCGGCCCAGAGCTCTCTGGGTACTCAAAGAGGAGCCACACTTGGCGCTGGTACTCTCCCTCTGGCAAGGGTCTCTCCTCATCTTTAATGAATCCTTCATCTTCTCGGAACTTCTCCATGGCCTCCTCGCCCAGCTCATAAAATTTGATCTCCTCAGAGAACATGTCCAGGGGGACATTGACCGGCCGGCGCAGCCGCCCCCCGGACTGATAGTAGTAGAGGATGGCGTCGAAGCTGGGCCGGTTGCGGTCGAAGAAGTACTCGTTGCGCAAGGGGTCAAAGTAGCGCATGCGCTTCTTGGGGTTGCCCAGCAGTGTGTTGGGGAACTGGGCTAAAGTCTTCAGCTGCGTCTCAAAGCGCAGTCCCGCAATGTTTATCACCACGCGCTCACAGCACTCGTGGTCGTCGTGGGCGGCGGGCTGGTAGCTATCCTGGGGGTGGCCAGGTAGCGCAGAAGTCTCGTCCATGTTCTCTCCAGCCATCACAGTCATGGTGGCACACAGGAAAGGGGACCAAAGGGCAGGGTAGAAGTGAGGGAAAAGGAGGAGGAGGAGGATGGAGGAGCACAGAAAGACCCAGGGCAGTTGTAGGGTGGGGGGGGTTGAGGTGGGGTGGGGAGCTTGAGGAAGGGGTGGATGTGGAGCCTAAAGGATGGAAATACTCAAAAGGGGAAAAGACAGGCGGGATGAAGGGAGAGGCATCAGGAATGATGGGAGGGTGAAGAAAGAGGGAAGAAGTACCTTTAGGGGGGGCAGAGGGCAGGTAAGGTGAGGGGTCCTGGTCCCCAAACCGGGAGGCTGAAGGTCTGTGGAGTGCACCCCCAGGCTGGGGTTTCCCTCCCCAGCTGTCGCCTTTAGCCTTTAACTCGATCCGTCCACTTTTCTTGCCGGCTCGACCATCACCGCAGCTGCAGTCACGAAGCTACCACACACACACACACACACACACGCACACACACACATAAAATAAATAAATAAATATAGAAATAAATATATAAATCACGGGCTGGCTGGGAGGTGAGTCCTTGCAATGCCAACTCAGCAAATTTCCATCACCTGCCTCTTCCTTCCCCCCCCACCCACCATCACCACTGCCCTGGCCCACTCCTCTTTTGCGCTGGGGAGGGAGAGAGGGATGGAAATACTCTGCTTTGAAGGCATAAAGCTCACTTTAAGGATGGGGGCTGCCAGGGAGGAGAGAACCAGAATAAACCAGCCCCCAAGCCCCTCCACACACGCACACATACACACACACGGACAGGCGCAATGGATTGGCTTTCACACCAGCAGGAACATCCCGTTCTGCCCACTTCGGCAGCACATGCGGAGTTCTACGCGTTCCTACACATCCCCGTACATGCACCAAGGCCTCCGAGGCAGGAAGGTGCCCCGAACTCATCCGGAGGGCTTCCCGGGCAACTTCAGCTGGGTCAGCTCCTGCAAGGAGTCTCCCGAACACCGCGCTCTCCGCTGTGGAGACTTAGCTGAGCACTGACAACTTCATCACACCAGCTGAGGGGTGGGGGGGGATTGGGAGAGGGGGAGCAAAGCATCTCCTCTCCCGCTTTGCAGCAGCTAAAGGTAACTGAGAGAGAGACAAGGGGAGACCCAAACAGTCCAAAATTGAGTGTAACAGCGGACGGGAGAAGGGGCTTTTCCTTACCTGCTCCGGGTGAGACGCGCCGCTTAGGAGTAGGAGCCAGTGCCGGAATGCGTCAAGTCGCCTTGCAGCAGCATCCAAAAAAACCAAACCAAAACAAAAACCGCAGAGGCAAACTTAACCCTCCTCCTCCTCCTCTTGCGCCCCTCTTTATAACACAGATCGCTTTACAGGGCTGCCTGCGAGACACTGAAATATTCATACACTGTCTTAGGCTGCACCAAGGGCGAGTGGGTTCAATTAGTTTCTGCTGAGAACCGCAGTGGGGGGTGGGGGGTGCGCATGGAAGAGAGTGCAAAGTACCTTTTCCAAAAGGCTTGAGTTAGTCAATAAAATCAAGGAGTCCTAGATAGCCGCTGGCTCTCTTCCCTTAGGACATCTGGAAAAGGAGCCGGGCGCTGGGCAGCGGCGGCGAGGGAGACGTCAGAGCGCCGCAGCCCTGCAGCCGCATCCCCAGAGTCGGTCTTGGCTCGTCCCGGCAGCAGCAGCGTTGGAGGCAGGAGGAGACAAGAGCTGGACGCGTGCGGCAGGAGCGAGAGGGCTGCTGAATGCATAAGAGCGAGGAGCAAACTCGAGCCATTTCTTGACGCTGCAGTATCAGCAGAAACCTGAGAGCTATTTGGTGCAGCTCGGGGATCGAGAGGGCGGGGGAGCCGGGGGCCGGGGCCGGCGGAGGAGGGAGGGATGCGCGCTGCCCCCGGGCCGGCCGCCCCCGCACGCTGCGCGCCGCGCCCCCGACGCAATGCGGGCGGCCCCGGGATGGGACTGCGGGATGGGGCTGCGGGATGGGGCTGCGGGATGGGGCTGCGGGAACCAGCGGGAACCAGCGGGATCCCGGGTGGCCGGCAGGGGAGGCACGGGCAGACCGGACAGGTGCGCCGAGCAGCCGCTGCCCGACGCGCCGAGGGACGGCGGGACTGCGCTTCGTCCGCCGCAGGTCCCCCCGCAGCACCTGAGGCAAAGCGGGGCCGCACATCCCGCACGGAGCGGGGCCGCACATCCCGCACGGACCCCGGCTCCGGCTGCTACGCCTGCAGTGCCCGGAGCCCCCCGGGCCCCGGTCCCCGGTCCGCCTCGGTACTGAACGGGGCTGCGCACCAGGAGCCTCCTGGACACACAGTGGTGGAGGCTAAATCCCGAGGGGAGTGGCTGGAATTGGGAGGGTTAATCGTCAGGCAGGGACAGTGCCCTTTCACGCTGCTTTATCCCACCGAATTTGTTTAATTGATGAATCACATAACTTCGAGATGGAAAAGACCCATTATGTCATCAGCTGGCCTCCCCTGCCAGCACAGGATTGTTCCCCACAGTATATGATCATTTACATTATATAAAAGCCTGCTGCTCACTTTGTCAGAGAGGGAGAGGTGATCAAATACAACCCATCCCTGTGTAATATGAAGCACTCCAGAGCTAAGTAACACCAAGTCCGTGTTTAACAGACCTAGTCTCATTAGCTTTCCACTGCATAATACATTATCTTCACTTAAGATCACCACCTTGGCAGTCCAAAAATACTTAACCACCTGACCTCCCTGGTGATTTCTGTCTCTTCCTCCCTTCCCCTTACTTATGCCCATGTTCTGTTGTTCGGAGTGAGGTTTTTTGATGATGTTGTGGTTTAGTTTTAATTTTTTTACTAGAGTAAAAACCATCCTAAAATCACCTACCCCTGGCAGTGCTGCAATCACAGCTAGTTAGCATGCTGCATTCACCAGCCCTGTGGAAACATAAGTGCAAAGAAACAAACAGATTTCCTGTCTAGCCTGGTAAAAGGGTGGGTTTTGCTGTTTGGTTTGGGGTTTTTTTTCAGTATCATGTATGCTGAAAATTTTGTGAGAAACTTCTGGTGAAGTTCTGAGCAAAAGAAAAATCTCTTTCTTCTACACCCGAGGGAAACAATCAAAACACAAAATAAAAAGAGAGGGTTTTCTTCCAGTGAAAAATAAAGCACAGCTTTCTGTCTGAAGTTCAGCAGCTCGGCACCAGCACACAGCCCTGGACCCTGTAAAAAATAAAGCCCTCCCAAAAAAGAGAGGCTGTCCCATCACCTAAACTAACAAGGCTGTTTTTCAACCCCTCAAGAGACAATCTTTCACTCAATATCCTCTTATGGCAGTGAATTCCATGCCTGGGTAACACAGCTGGCTGCAGAGTATTCTGTATTCTGCTATGCATTCAGCACGCTCGGAGCTGCTGTGCAGACGGAGATCTGTGACTGAGAGCTCCCCCTGCCTCTGGTGTAGAGCTGTGTCCCCCTGACCCAGCCCAAAGGATGCTCAGGAGTGGGCTGAAAATGCAGGTCTGACAAGCAGAGGCTCAAGTTCGTGGTGCTGCTCTGTCCTTGGCTTCCTGCAGGATTGCAAGCAAGCCTATACATTCTGGTTTTGCATCTGCAAAACAGGACTTAAAAGTGCTTCCTTTGCCTGTCACAGCTCCTTAGGCTGCTGCTTTCTGAGAGCTGCCTTGGCACAGCAGAACCCAAATCCTCATTGGGAGCTGTGTGCACACCAGGCACAGAAATTAGAGGAGTGATAGCAACCTTCGTTTTTCCATTACAGCAATAGGACAAACTGGGATATTGCTCTCCCACCCTCCTCATTATGGATAGCTTTGAACTGTGGGATTTCTCTTTGCAATCCAACTACCATTACTGACAAGCAGTCATTCTGGAAGGGAGAGATCTTTCTAAGTGGCCTATTAGCCATAGGGTCAATAAAATCTTGTTAAAGCACACAGACTAATGAGCAGTGTAACTAGGGCTTGCAAGAATGTCGTATGTTACACATTATAGTGCTAAGTAGCTTCAATTAAATCTTGAGGAATGGAAGGAGAATCCAGCTTGCTGCCAAATCCAAAGCCAGGCTGCTGCTATTTCCTACCTTCTGTATTACAGAAAATGGCCAGCAGCAGTTGAACTGGTAATCCCCCAAAGAGCCACACTGAGAAGTTCTCTTCAGGAACAAAATTTTTTCATAGGTAAACTAAGAATTGCAAAAAAACTTTGCAGAATTTTTGTGGTAGGAAGTCTGGTGGTATTGTTGTGATAAGAAAGAACAGCATTTTTTGTTTGTTTTGTTTTTTGTTTTAGAAAGAAAGAATCAAGCTGTTGATTAAAAGTCCTTGTGTGTTGTGAGGATTACAAAAAGAAATTGTACTGAATGAATGTGAATCTGAAACAGGATTAAAAAAATAAGCATTGGCTTTACATAGTGAACCAGGCTTTAAACACTGTCACCAGGGAACATAGAAAATCCTGATTTAAATCAATGGATGCAGAAGCACAGGGGATTTCTGAGCATGATGTCATTCCTGTGAGTGTCTTGAGTGATGCCCAAAACTTCCTCACCTGAAAGAGACATTTTGTGTGATAAAAATCATTGTGAAATCCAATGGCAAAGGGTGTCCTGGTTGTTTGAACACTATAGATCCTCATGGGCACTGTAATCCCAATCCATCTAAGCCTGGAAACCAACCTGGAAACATTATAGCCCCATTTTGAACTGCCTAAAGCCTGCAGATATCACCACACACCTCATTTAATGGCCTTGGGAGGCAGAGGATAAAGTGAGGTGTTCTGGCCCAAATTTGCCATGCAGAGACTCTGTCAAATTGTTCTGGTTCATGACATGGAAAGAGTCAAGAGACAGAACTAAAGGAGAACTTGTGGTGTTGACAGTTGGGATTTCTTCCTTGAGGGGAACAAAGAATCCTTTAAAAGTTTTTAATCTTTTAACACTGATTTATATCCTTCAGTATTATTAGGCATTTTTTGTGACTGAGATAATCAAATCTCATGCTTCAAAGAATACTGAGAGCTGATGGGAGATGACAATGACTTTGGTTCCCTCTTGTTATATAATTTTATTTTTTGTCCTGTTCTCTTTTAAAGCCTTAAATATGGGCCCACTGTGATCAAAAAAGCCAAAGAACAGACCCAGTCTTGTTGCTCCACAGAGGGAAGAGGAGAGCTTGGGAGTTAATCCTGTGAAGAAGGAAGCAGAAACTGCCCTCACTCATATGATAGTTGTGCCATTAGGACAAGCCTGGAGAGAAAAGATGCCCCTACCTTGCCTCGATATCACACATCAGTGGGTTGGAGAGGCACAAAATGTGGCAATAGGAGAATGGCTGGGCAGAGAAGAACAGAAAATGTTCTGTATTAGGTTGGGTTGAGCTTTCTTCTGTCCTCCTCAAAAGCAGCTCTAAAATCAGAAATGGAAACAAAGTGCCAATCCACCCCAAGCATACTCAGGTTTGTAACACACAGGACTTTTTTCCTGACAGGACCTACTTTTGGCTTCCCATAATTGGATGACTTAGTACAAGATTTTATAAAATCACCACAGCAAGAATATATTTATCAAGAGTGCTGGTGGCCACCAAGTGCAGAGTGACCTTTCCCCATGTCATGAGGGGTGAGCACCACACGAAGCACCACTGGGGAACACCTGAGCAAGACAGAGCACTACCAGAACAAGTACGTTCCTGTAAAATCCCCAAAACAGTCCTTCCAGGGGGTCCTTGCAATACACAACAAAGAAATCAGCTTTGGGAAGTCTGAGTTTGCTCCTGTGTGAGTTCATCAGCAGGATGATTCCACCCTATAAAATATTATTCTGACACATATCTAAACAAAGCCCCACCTCATATGGCATTGAGCTGCTCAGGAGTGAATCAGAAAGTGGTGGTGTTTTTGAAACAACAAGTCTTGTTATGAAGCCCCAAGCTTGAGGCTGAGTGGTGATAAGTGATAGAAACACATAATCATAGAATGGTTCAGGTTGGAAGGGACCTTAAAGATCATCTCATTACATGCTCTTGCCATGGGCAGGGACACCTTCCTTTACCCCAGGTTGCTCAGAGCCCCATCCAACCTGGCCTGGAACACCGCCAGGGTTGGAGCAGCCACAGCTGCTCTGGGCAACCTGTGCCAGGGCCTCACCACCCTCACAGGGAACAATTTCTTCCTGATATCCAATCTGAACCTCCTCTGTGTCAGTGTGAAGCCATTGCCCCTTCTCCTGTCACTCTAGCCCTTGTCAAGAGTCTCTCTCCATCTTTGTTGGAGGCACTGGAATGCTGCAATGAGGTCACCCCAAAGCCTTCTCTTCTTCAGGCTGAACAAACACACTTACTGGAATTCTCTAAGAAAACAAAATGTGCGCTAGGAACTCATGGCATAACAGGATACTCCCAGTGCTCAA